CTTCGACTACTTGTCGAAGAAACTGCGAACCGCGCCCTAGCTAAGTCCACCCTTCGAGTCGTGTCCCTTCCTTCTACGATACATCGAAGAGCTCTGCCGAGCTTCGATCGTCTCCACTAACCACCCACAGCCTCCGAGTAGCTTCGACGACGTGTCGAAGCCACCTCGTACCTTCCCTAGCGTTCGTAGCCTTTTCCGAAGGCGTTTCTCGTGTTCACTCGAACCGCGGGACACCTTGCTGCTAACTCCCCTCTCACTAGACTATAATCCGTCTCTCTAGTCCCTTTAGGTCGCACCCAGGTTAGGGGTTAGGGTTTCGTAGGTCGTATCATTTCTGGAGCCCACCGCGAGGGGATTTCAGGCAAGAATTCGCCGCTTTCGGGTTTCCGAAAACGTCTCCAGTAGTCACCCGCTCGCAAGCGCGTGAGGCTGCTAGCCGCAGCGCCGCCGAGAACCTCGACAGCTCCTCTAGAACGCAATCGACTCCCTCGCCAACCATTCCCGGTAACTTCGACCGCGACGAAGAAGACAAGATAGACCAAGAACTCCAGGACGACTTCGACGAAGAACCGATCCCTTCGACCGCCGAAGAACGCACGTCGTCCCCCGAGCTTCTAGGCCTCACTACTTCCGACTACGACATTTCGACTCCTGATCTTTTCGAACGATCCAGTTCTTCGCCCGAACCCGAGGATCGCATCCCATCTACTTTGAATCTCGGACTCCCGACTCCGTCTTCTTTTCACACCCACGCACAGCCGCCCATCGCATCCTCTTCACGACTTTCAGTCGTACCTACATCCGACCTGGCACCTCCGCCACCCTTGGCACCTTCGAACGCAGCTTCGAACTCCAACCTCGCACCGCCCGCACCTACGATTCCTTCGACTACTACCACGTCCTCTTCGAGCCCAGCTCCTACTACCACTACGAACATGAGTCAGAACATGAATACACCATTGATGCCCCTGCGCGGTCATTCGACGGCACCAAGCTTCGACCCCTCGGAAGTCCGTTCGCTCCGGCGTTACTTCCAGGACCTCGAGGCGTTGTTCACCCGGTGTCAGATTACCGACGAAGCAGCCAAGAAACAGTGGGCCGTTCGGTACCCTTCGATCGACGTCGCTGACTTATGGGAAACCATCGAGTCCTTCATCGACGTAGCCAAGAGCTACGACGACTGGAAAGCCGACGTACGAGCACTCTATCCTGGCGCCGACGATACAAGAAAGTGGTCGCTGGCGGACATGGACCAGCTCATCGGAGAACGCGCTCGTATCGGGATTCACAATGCGGCAGATCTAGGCTGCTACTACCGCGACTTCATGGCCATTACGAAACATCTCATCGCACAGCACCGACTCTCCACTATCGAACAAAGTCGCGCATTTCTTCGAGGGTTCCAGCCAGCGTTGCTCACACGGCTCGAGACCCGACTGCATCTCAAGCACCCCGATCACTACGCCGACGACCCATACACCATGGCAGAGATTCACGCGGCGGCTACGTTCATCTTACACGGTACATCGAGCACACCTACGACAGCGGCTAACCAAGCTACCGCTTCGACGTCGAACACTTCGACAACGGTGCCCCCCAGGATGATCAAAACCGAAGACATCTCGATGATCATCGAAAGCCTGTCGAGGACGATCGCGACACTTATTCAGCCGATGACGCACGCTACGCACAACCACGCCCCCGCACCGAGACAACAAGCTGCCGTCCACGTCCACGAGAACAGCGGAGCTGAACAGACCTGCCACTACTGCGGCAATCGTGGCTGCAGGGTAGGCACCTGCGAGTTCGTGGAGATCGACATTCGGGACGGCAAGTGCAAACGGAACACCGACGGCAAGATCGTTCTTCCAAACGGAAGTTTCTGCCCCCGCACTATCCCTGGTCTCACAATACGAGATCGAATCTACGAGTGGCATAGAAGAAATCCCACAGCACCCGCCGCTCCGACGATGCTCTTCGAGATCGACGATCGCTCGACGGTGCAAACATTCACGCTCAACACCAGCAGCAGGATCGAGGCGCTCGAACGAGAACTCCTTCAGCTTCGGAAGCGAAGAGAGGTCTTCGACGGCGTCGAGATTCTACAGCGGAAGAAGCCTACGACGCCAGCCGTCCCGAAGAGCGCGGAAGCCTCGGGATCTGGTACATCGAAGGGAGTGGCGGCACCCTCGAGCACTTCAACAAGCACGGCCCCGCCTCTGACGATACCAGCAGCATCACCCGCGCCGTCTTCTTCGCAGCCTACGCAATCCACGTCTCAACCTATTACTACGTCCGCTCCCCCAGCACCACCAGTACACCCCTTCGCAAACGCTCGCGACGCAACCTACGCCCCACCGAACGTTCGAAACTTCGCAACTCCGCCGAAGCCCTCGAACGACAAGGGCAAGGAACCAGCGTACAAGACCATCGTCCCCGTTATCCAGCCGAAGCTCGCCGAGGAAATCTTCCAGCGTTCAATGAAGTCGCAGTTCGTCACGCTGACCCCAGAAGAATTGCTTTCGATCGCGCCAGACGTTCGAACCAAGTACCGCGACGCCGTCACCCCTAAGCGAGTCTTGACGGAACCCGTCGCGTCGGCCCACATCGTAGAAATCGGCGCCGACGAGGTCACGGCCGTCAACCAGCTCTCGTGTTCAGGCGCAACGTTGGAACCCGGTGCTACGATCGTCCCCGACCCCTACGAAACATATCTGAAGCACATCCCTCACGGCGAGCACCCCGCAGAATTCACCGTCGCACGCGATTCGAATGCGATTCGTTCGATCATCG